TGGGTCTGATCGCCAGTGCCGTGCGATTCGGGGGGTGCCAGTCCCTTCCCAGGAAGGCTCCTGGCGGGGCCGCGGTTGACACAAATCGGTTTTCTGAGGATCAAGGGCTTGTGCGAGTATGTGCGGTGGACCGTGGCCTTCCTTACCAGGGATTCTCGGGCATATGTTCGTGACCTGGGTGTTACGCTTGTAGGTGATGGTGAGGGAGGTCTTGCTGGGGTTGCCCCGGGTGCCCGGGAAGCTGGGGACCAAGGGGCAGGTAACAGAACACACGGGAGCCCGCCATATCGGAGCCCTTGTGGGGTGAGCGGGTTTGTTGGTGGTTGTGGGAGCAGAGGCTGGTTTGTGCAATAACGGCGTCTGTGCCCCGATCAATGGCATTGTTGCTGGCTGTGGGAACAGAGGCAGGACGACGGCCGCAGACGAGCCTCCAGGACCAGCGACCACGGTCGCGACTCGGGACCCCGGCCCCGCACCGAGCAGGGATGCAACGGCCAACCCCGCAGCAGAACAGGTGCAGCGGGTCAGATAAGTTCACCTGGAGAACCCTTCTTGGTCGGGAGGCCGGTGGGACGGCTCCCCGGGGAAGCAAACGCGAGACCGATCCTTCTCCAGTCGAGCAGGCAGGTGCCGGCTGCAGGAGGCATGCACACACACCCGACTTGGGGCGGCGACGAGGGCAGCGGCCATGGCGACGAGGGGGGGCGCAGGCAGCAACCTGGACTCAGCAGGGGTTTGCCAGGGCAGCTGACGACGAGCACCGTCTCGGACTCGTCCCCGCCACCAGACACACCGTGCCACATCACCACAGTTGTCTCGCGCCCGACGTAAGGGTGGGTCACTGCCTGATGGCCAGGGACGACGACGGCGCTCGCCCCGCGCGTTGGCACCAGCAGGCCGACGAGACGGGGTAGCGACCCTGGCCCAACGCACAGCCCGGCTCAGCGATCGAGCCGGTGGAAGAGGTCCGAACATGACAGTTTCTTTGCGCCAGGATTGGGGGGCGAGTAGGTCACGGTCTGGAGCGGGGCAGGTTCCGCGCACGTCGCCTGGATCACTCACGACGGCCGCCCTGCCAACAGTGGCGGTGGCGGCAGCGCCCCCGGGGCGGGCGACGCCCATGCTGGCCAGACCGCTCGTGAGAACGACGCGGGCCATGCGTTCCCCGATTCTTCTACCTGCACCTGGCGCTCGGTTCACTACCAGACTGCTGACTGGTCCACCTAGAATAAAGGCGGCGCGGACGGCTCCCGCGGCAGCACTTGAAGGCACTCGTCCTATTGGCGCAGCGGCCCCGCTGAGTGAGAGAGGTCCCTTTTTGGGGGCGACGACTCCCACCGCCGCCCCAGCGTGACGTTCGCTGGTTATCGACATGGGACCAAGGAGACAATCGCCTGGAGACATGGCCGGAACTCATCAATCGCCTCAAGGCCACTTGCGGGGCGATGCTGGTGAAAAGGTGGAACAGGACCTGCGGCGTGCGAGACGGCAAGGTACGGGGCAAGGGTCGCTACAGTCCTGGCGGTTTCGACGGTCTCTGCAGGCAGCGTATCTTTGTTCTATGCGCCTGCTACTACCACATGCGGGCGCACTGTCGGCAATGACGCATCGATGTCGACTGGGGCGAAGTGTGGCGCCAGCAGCATGAGCGGCAGGCGCAGGCAGCCAGAGGGAAAGCCCAAGGGGGCATGCTTGCCAGCGGCGCCTCCTGGCCAGCTGAGGGCCAGTCCCGCGTGCGAGGACTCTGAGGCACGGGCGCCTCCGCCAGCGCGGGAGCCGAGAGAACTCGCCTGGATCAGCGTGACAACCCACTCCGCTGGACCTCCCAGGAGCCTTCGAAAGTGGCGACAATCGCGCATATGGCAACCTCCCTACCGTTTCCGGTGGACCTCCCGGCAGCCCACGAACGTTGCGACAGTTGCGCAGTTAGCAGCCTTCCAGGAAGCCGCGAGGTCTCGCCGTCTCGCCTGCCCACTGTCCCCGCTGGACCTCCGAGCAACCCTCGAAAGTGGCGAAATGTTTCGTAGCTGGCAGCCTCCCAGGGAGCCGCGAGGTCTCGCCTGTCCACTGGACTTCCCAGGAACGTACGAAAGTGGCGACAATCGCGCAGCTGGCAGCCTCCCAGGGAACCGCGAGGTCTCGCCTGCCCACCGCCCCCGCTGGACCTCCCAGCAGCCCACGAAATGTGCGACATGTTTCGCAGTTGGCAGCCGCCCACGGAGCCGCGAGGTCTCGAGTGGTTCTGCGCCACCACCCCGCTGGACCTCCCAGGAGTCTTCGAAAGTGGCGACAGTTGTTCAGCTGTCCCATAGGAGGGAGGCGCAAGAGGAAGATACGGAGGATGCAGGAGGAGGGAGGAGTCGGGAGGATGTTGCGCGAGCATTGCTCAATTCAAAGCGAGAGCCCAACACAGGAGGGTTGGGACACATTGGCGACACACGTTCCAAACCAATTTCGGGAACGCCCGTGGGGGAGGGGGGGGGTGGAGGAGGAGAGCAGGAGGAGGAGGAGGAGGAGGACGTGGAGGAGGAGAAATAGGCCTTTGTGGGATCTCTTGGGGGTCTCTCGGGGTCCTCGTGGACTTTTTTGGGGCCCGCTTGTACCATCCCATTTTGGACCGTCCTATGCCCTTGCTAGCCGTCTTGAGGGTCTTTGGGGCCCTCTTGGGGTTCTGTTGGCGCCCTGTTGAGACCTTTTTGGGCAGTGTTGGGGCCGCCCTGAAGGCCTCTTCTGCCATCTTGGATCTTTTGGGGGAATTTTTGCGGCCGTCATAGTGTTATTTGGGAAACAGATTGGGCCGTCTTCGGCTTCCGGAAGCCGGAAAAGAAGAGAATTCGAACATCCTTCAAACACGCAGTGAGGGGATGAATGAATCTTGGCTTCTGGAGGAAATCTTTCAGGTCCCCATGGGCGTCCTCTTGGGACAGCTTGGGTGCTTTTCGACCGATTTGAGGCCATATTGGGGTTAGCTTGGATTGTTTGTGGCTTTGCTTCTCTCTTCGGCCCCTCCTGGAGCCGTCTGCGAGACCCCATGGGCCCTCCTTGCCGCGCGGTGGCATCCTTATTGTACCATCCCGGCGTGGTCTGGAGCGGCCGCGAAATGTCGGGGGCGGCCAAGAGGGGGGTGATGACTACGGTGGGGGGGGGGATCTCATTGAGGGGGCCATGATATTTCCTGAGATTCCATGGCGCCTCTTCTTATTTCTTTACGTCCCTGGCCCTCCCCTGGGCCGCGCACATGCCGCTGGCCATGATTTGCGCCCCCCCTCTTGGACACTCCCCTCTTGGCCGACCCCGAAGATGGAGGGGCCCGTTCCCCAGGTGCCTCCTTCGTACGCCGCTGGCCCTCTAAAATAGACCCTCGAAGGGAGACGGGAGACCCTTGAATCGGCGGCGAGCCCGTGGGGGGGAAGTGAGAAGGAGGCGGCCTTCTCAGGAGGCTCGAGAAGTGTTCTAAGCCCTCCCCGAAGACCCCGAAAGCTTCTCAGAAGGCTGGAGCGCTTCGGAGAAGTCCCAACGCTTTCTGAGAAGGCTTTCCCCCTCTCACTTCCCCCCCCGCTCGCCGCCGATGGAAAGGAGACAGCTCTGGAGAGACGAGACGCCGCGATCAAAACCGGCAGCGGCAGCAGCTTCGGGCTCCAGTCGGGAGTGGACAGAACCCCCAACAGTGACACGTCGATTTGTGAATTGTCCGTTTTCGGTTTTTGAGAGGGCGCCGTGGCCGTTATTTTTCAGGCTTGCGCCCGCCAGGTTTGGGCCCGAAGTCGCTTTTACTAAACCACGTTTTACTAAAGGGAGGTCTGTCCATCTCCGATCCAGGAGAGACTGAGAGGCCCAAGATTTGGTGTGACCACCGGGCAGTAGTGTAGCAAACACGCGCACAGACGGGCGCCCCCCCGGCGGGCCGACGTGATAGTCTTACACCTTCGATAGGCGCATGCGTGCCGACACGGTTAGACTCGGGACGACCGAAATGAACACGGCTCCTCCTCCTCCTCCTCCTCCTCCTCCTCCTCCTCCTCTTCCTCCCTCCTCCTCCTCCTTCTCCTCCTCTTCCTCCTCCTCCTCTTTATCCAAAACGTGGGCACACAGACCGACAGCGTTTATTGTGAACAGCACGCGCTGTCGGTGCCGCCGCGGACGTTGTCCATCTGAGACACAAGGCCGCCTGCCCACCAGCGGCCTCTATCGGTTTGGGGCAACACCTGTTGCTGGGAATCGTGCCACTTGTTTCCGTACCCATTTCGGCGTCCAAACAGATGTTCAAGGATATCTCTCGGCAGGCGTGGTGGATTCCTGACAGCCCGCCCCCTGGCCCGCCCGCTTGTGCACGTCGCCGAGTAGGGCGGAGAGGTCCTGGGAGCCCACGTCTGTCAGGAGGAAAAGAAACACACAGACACAATTAATCCTCGATTCCCTAGAAAATATGGGAAAATATGGGAAGTGGGGGGGAAGACAGAAACCCAGAAAATATGGGAACATACGGGGAATCTCTTCATTTGCGTGTATTTCTTGGTGTGTCCTGGGGCCCCTTCAGTCTGAACAAGACCACGACGTCGGATGTCTGGGCCCTCCTCGCGCGGATGGCAGCGGGCTCGGGAGGGGCTCGGGCTTTCGGCCCGCTCCCTGGGTCTGCATCGGGGAGCCCGCTCGCGGCCGAGGGCCCCGCCGAGGCCGGAGAGGCAGCTCCGTTCCCCGTTCGGCGCCCCTCGTGGCCGGCAGCACCGTGGCCGCACGAGGAGGAGCCGGGGATCACCGAGGCCGCACGAGGAGGAGGCAGCACCGTGGCCGCACGAGGAGGAGGAGGTCCCGCCGCTCGCAAAGTGCCTACTCGCAAACGTCTGGAACAAAAGCAGGTGTTCCTGTATGCTAAATGTGACGGATCGTAGGGTCCGCCGCGGCAAATCAGGGCGGATCCAAGTAGTGCAACGCGCTCGTCTAAGGGAGGAGGGGCAGGAAGACGACGCCGAGGGAGGTCTGAGCCCCCCCCCCCTCGGCAGGCACATGTACCACGTGTTCGTGAAGGACAACCAGAGCCTGATCGGGCGGGCCTGGGCGTGCAGCGCCGATCGCCTCCTCCTCTCGTCCTCCGCTCCTTCTGAAGCGCGATCGTGCATTTTTGCTCCACTGTTGGACACTGGGGTCCCTCGCCGGGCCCAGGGCCGTCAACAGCGCGCGTCGGGACGAGAAGCTGGTCCTGGGGAAGGGGTCCAGGCCTCTGGGGAGCCACGATGTAAAAACAAAAACAAAAAAACACGACGTCGAGTGTCTGGGCACCTGCGGCACCGGGAGGAGGCGGACGGATTGCTTGTCATCTTGCCTCATCTTTCCTTTTCTCCCTGGCCCACCACCTCGGCGGCGCGCCCAGGGGGAAGGTGGAGGGGGCAGACAGGTCTTCTCAAAAGACTCAGGGGCTCAGGCGGCCTCCAGCCCTCCAGAGGTCTTTTCGTAAGGTCGGAGGGCTTCTGAGAAGCCCCGCCGCCTTCTGAGAAGGCGTGCCCCCTCTCACTTCCCCGTCGAAACTTGGCGTCACGAGCTGTATTTCTGTTACGCTCAGGGATTCCTCACTACTAAGTCGCGCCTTCCACTGCAGACATTCACTCTCAGACGACTTGGTGCCAGCAGTGGTACGCATGCGGCGGACAGTTTGCTTGGTGATGTTACTCGTCCTCTCCCGCCCTCCGCGCAGCCAACGTGGCACGGGCTGTTGTCTCGAGCTCGTCGCTGGGCCGGGGGCGCGGCGGCGGTCGGTGCCCAGCACGGTGGCTGCGGGAGGTCCCGCGGGGCGATCTCATACATCCGACATCGTGTATTTTCGAGGGAGGGAACGCGCTGACCATGACCGAGCTGTCGCAGGATCTTGCCGACGCCCACTTCGGTCATGGACCTTGCCGGCCGTCGCCGATCTCGCCAGGATGATCCACGAGTCGACGGTGACCAAGATGGACGGTGGCCAAGATCGGCACCGACGCCAGCGCCTTCAGTCTTGGTTATGAGTATCGTTTTCGTTCCCTTCCTTTTGTTCAGACTGTGGCCCCCCCAAAGCTCCCGACCCCTTCCCCGGGACCGGCTTTCCATCGCTAAGTATCGGAACGAAGAGTAACATAAACATAACAATTCGGAGGTCCGCGCGGCGGATTTTTCGAATCCGCGCTGGACCCTCCTGGCGGCGCCTCTGGCGCCGCCTCTGGCGTGCTCCGTGCCGATCCGAGAGATCCGCCGCGCGGACCTTCTTCTTCTCACTTCACCCCCCCTCGCCCGCCGCCAACAGGCATCTGGCGATGTGTCTGTTCCTGTCGAAGACAATCTGCACAACACACACACACTTTCGGGGCTCCGCGCTGTTCTCTCGAATCTGCGTTCCCCCACCCAGCGGCGCCGATCCAAGAAATGTTCATGCTTCTGTAGTGTTTTGTTGTGAGATATCTTGTGGCCTTCGGCCCATCCCGCCGCCGTGCCTGGGTTGTGGGATCTGGTGGGGGGCCTCTCGGGGGCCTCTTGGAGGCAGTTTGAGGCCTGTTGGGTGCCTCTTGCTCTTGTATGTTCAGTGCGCGGCTCCAGAGGCCCCGACCCCTCCAGCGTGGCTGGTTACTTCTGCGCCCCGGGGAGTCTCTTGGTGGCCCCGCGCATGGGTAGCGGGCCCCAGAGACCGAGATCGACGAAAGAGGCCGCGATTGAGGGGATCATATCGTCGGAGGTCTTGGTGTCGGGAGCGTCAGGGGCAACGTCTGCGGCGGACAAGCTCGTTGGGGACGTCAACCGGCGCAAGAGAGCCATTGCGACGTCAGCCAGCGCAAGAGAGCCATTGTTCAGCTCGGTTTTGGAATTCTCAGCAAGCTTGTAGAACACCGAACCATGTTGAGCATTCCACTGCAGCGCCCTACTAGACCAGCAGAGGCGGAAGTACGTGGAGGAATCGAAGAATGCCTCGCTCCGTGGTGCATCAAGAACGCTCTCGCCTTCTTGTTCTGGCACTCGCCGCCGTTGTCCGTGAGGACACTACGCGGGAGACAGCTGTGTACTGATTGTCATCGTGAGAGGGCGGCGAGTTTCTCTGGGGCGAGAGAGAGAGAGAGAGAGAGAGAGCGCCATGCACGTCAAAGGTGCGTTGGCAGTAATGTACAAACTGCGATCACACTGTTATACGCGTGCAAAACATACGGGCCGCGTGGCGCCAACTACTGGCGCTCCCTTGCCGTAGTTGGCACAATCTGTCAGCATCGCCGGCTGCCTTGCAAGCCATGGCGTATACATTGCGCTTCCACGTGGCCGCGTTTCTGGCGACCTCCCAAGCGGGAAAGAGAAAATGACCCGGGGGCGAAATGCAGCGTCGGACGGCGCTGTCGTCTGGCAGTTGGGCCGCCTTACCCAGCAGCACAAGCTGCCGGTATGCTAACTGGCTGCTTAATTTCTGACAGCTGCACTGGGCCAGAGCGGCATCAGTCGAAACACGGCTAACGAACGAGTGCGCTATGCCAGCCACTTTGCGGAGGCAGCGCGTTTGGAAAGCATCCAGTGTTCGGTGTTCTGCTTGGTTCAGCCACAGAGTGTGCAAGGAATACATCATGCCAGATACTACGCAAGACTGGAAAGTCAAGACCTCCTTGGAAAGTGAAAGCTTCGCGTGCTTCCCAATTTTGCACAAACTATGACTTGCCTGTATGCAATGCCGATCCTTCTGCTCAGCTCAGGGCTGCTGCCACCGTCGGCGTTCAGTAGCCCGCCCAGGTAGATCAGACTGTCCCTCTGCGGAATTGTTGTCCCGCCTGGTCGGGCAAAATGCATTTCGCATCACACGGACAGAACCTCGAGCTTGCCCCACTTGAACCCCAATCCATAGTTCCTCCCGGCCTCGCGCACGCATTCCATCAGCTGGTAGACGAACTCTTCTTCTGCTTAAGGGTGTCGTCGGCGTACATGAGCTCGCTAGCCGGAATTGAGTTGGATTGCAACATCCCCTGACCAGCAAAGCTCCGCCTCGCGTCGTGCATGCGGGCCGTCATCGCGATCGAGCACAAAAAAGGTGATAACGGGCATCCTTGCGAGATGCCGAACACCTGCGGCCAAGATTCGGAAGTTGAGCCAGCATCCAGGACGCGGAAGCTCCTGTCGTCGTAGATTCCCTTCACAGCGGCGGCGAAGTGCTCAGGGATGCCGAAGCGGATCAATGCCTGCAGGAGGCTATCTGGCGACACGCTGTCGAATGCTTTAGCCCAGTCGAGCGCGAGAAGAAGCAACCTCCCAGACGCTGTGTCCACGGTGTTCTCGATCAGCCGCCGTGCGACGAACAGTGCGTCGGCCGTTCCGCTGCCAGATCGGAATCCAAACTGCGTTCCCCATATCCGGTCATCGGCTCCTGCGCTCTTCAAGCGTGCAAGCAATATCGCGGCGTAGAGCTTGTGCCCGATGGGTAAAAGTGATATCGGCGACGTCGCCTTTCTTGAAGATAGCCGTGACAATCGCCTCGTGCCAGGCGTCGGGCACAGACGTTCCCGTCCAACATCGATTGCATAGCAGAACGGCCCACTCGCATGCTAGCGTGTCTGAGCTGCAGATTCCCCTCCAAAACTCAGCTGGGGCGCCGTCGTGGCCGGCCGCGCGAGTCCGTTTCAGCGCGCGTGTTGCCGCGCACACTTCCGCCTTGGTAATCGGGCCTGCCTGCGCCGGTAGCTGGGGCCCCAACGGTTCCGGATCGTCCACGGCAGTGACCGGCCGCGCGGCCCATTGCATTGCAGCGAAGTGCTCGGCCAGAGTTTGGTCCCGCTCGTCGCTATCAACTTCTCGGCCGCGTAGGTCCCGCAATCGCCCTTGGGCGGCGCCGCGGGGCTTCCGGAGCTTGCGCACCTGGTCCAAGACGCCATTTTCCAACAGTCCGTAGAGATAGTGCTCCTTGTGTCTTGATGGATGCCCTGATTGTTCCGTGAACACGTTTCTCCATCGCTGAATCCTCCCGTCCTTTCGCCTCGTTCCGCCTGGTGATGAGCTCCATCGTGGCGCTGCTCACCCGCGGTTGCTTTCTTCGTTCCGCCTCTCGTGAGAAGCATTCTGCGGCAGCAGCGAAAGCATTGACCGCGGTGTCATGTTGATTGTCCAGGGACTGGTGTTGGCATGATGCGGGCATATGGTTGGTGGAAGTAGCAGCAAACAATTGTTGGCCTGCAGCGCTGGCCTATGCTGACAGGTCCGGTTTCGAGTCCTTCTCGCGCTTCGATTCCGGAATCTCTATGCGCGCGCGGCTCTGCAACAGAAAGTGATGCGAAGCATGTGCATAATCCCAGCTGCTCCACACGTCTGCTACCAGATTCGCGCAGTCCGCGTCGCATAAAAAGGAAATCTATGTTACCGAAATGCTGCGGCGCAGCCGGATCTCCTGGATGGGGCCCACACTGTAGTGCGTGATCTGGTCATCCGCGGAATGGTTGAAGAACGCGCTGGCGACAGCCAGCCCTTCTTTCTCACATAACTCCATCAGCAGGCTTCGGTTCGACAGAGGGTTGTGCTGAGCCTGCGGGTCTCCGAAGATGTGGTCTCCCAGAATCAACTCCTCTCCCCCGAATCGCCCGTGCAGCCTAGCGCTAGAGTCTCCCAGCGTCAAGGCGTGCCCATGTCTGGGCGCGCTAGCAATAATATTACCCAGCTGACTGTAAACGTCTTGCCCATCATCGCCGGGCCCCCAATTATCAGGGGCGCGCGTGCTGAAGGTCGGCGCCTTTCCGCCCCGAACACGAAACTTCAAATGCGAAGTTCTCTCGCCCATCATCTGGAATGCAATGGCGCTCCTGCGAACCCGCGGCGAGACGAGAAAACCAACTCCAGCAGTCTCATCGGAGCCAGGGCTTCCAGCTAGAACGACTCAAAACCCACGTTCGGTCGCATAGTAAACTTGCTCGTGCTTGTGAGTCTCTTGGATGGCGAGCGCGTCGATGCCCAGCTTCTCCATGTAGATGTGCAGTTCCTCCCCCTTCGCCTCCGTCATGCCCTCGACGTTCCGCGAACCGATCGCGATATCCACTGCGCAGGGTTGCAAGCGCCCTCCTCGGAAATCAGCCCCTCCTCGTCTAGTGCTGGCGTTGCCTTGCCGTGCTCTGGTCGCGCCTTGAATGCGCTCATGAGTTCTTAATCGATATATAGGAGCAGTATGGCCGATTGCGGGTGAAACAATTGCATCTAGTATTTCCTATTCTGGATGGCGCCTTGCGGCCCCGTTCGACAAGCCCTTGACGCCGCCCCTCGATTCCTTCATGCCGGCCGCTGCCTTTGCGACCAATTCGTTCGACCTGTCCAGGAGATCCATGACTTCGGGGCCTTTGTGGAGCTCCTCCCACCCAGCCCGCTCCCCGCGCCACTGGCGGGTCACGCGATCAGGGGGCGCACGTGGAATCCGTGCGAGCTCGCCGCCCACTGTCGCCGTGTAAGGAGCAGAATCGTTGACGGACACTGTGAAGGGGATGTTCCATGCCCTTTTGAATATGTGTTTTCATCCAAAACAGAGGTTCCTTTCCGCCCTCTCGGTGATAGGGCGGCCTTGGTTGGCCCACGCGTTTTTCCCACCCGATTGCAACCCCGTCCTCCTCGAGACGTCCACGGCGGCGTTGCTCACCACAGAGTTCCGGAACTTTGCGAATAGCGCTCCTGCGAAATCCACCTTCGTGTAGGTCTTGGTCGGGATGCGGGCCTTCGGCGAGTTTCTCTGGGGCACGCGCGTCAAAACACTTCCCGCGAGCGATCGCTTCGATACTGAATCATCTACCAAATGATGGAATAACTGCGCACGTGCTACCACATGCGGACGCCTCGAACGAGCCGATGCACACTAGGTCGCTCACGCTTCCCGTTGACATGCCAGAAGTCTTGAGGGGCGCGTGCGGTTTCCAGAACTTGTCGCAGACCCTGCAACGCTTTGCGACGTCCTCGCCCAGTTTCCTGACCTGCGGCGCTGTCTCGGGAAGCAGGGCCGGAGCGTTGGGTCGCATCAGTTCATCTACGCTTGGAAGCGCCAGGTTGTCGCTCGTGCGTTCGAGACCGGACTCGGTCTTGGAGCTCAGCGCGGAGCTGCTCCATTCTTGGCGGAAGCGACGCGGTGAAGGCCCCCGGGAGTCCTGCGACAATTATTGCTTCAAGGGCCCGTTGCGCCGCTCAGGGATGCAAAGTTGCAGTCCAGCATTTCCGCGGCGACGGCGGAGACGCTATTGAGCAGTGTGAGAGGGGACAGGTAGTGTCCCGCGCTCAAAGTTCACCGTTGGACTGTAGTCTCTGTCGTTTTCGAATGCAGCGCGCCCTGCTCGAAGTCGACCACGGCCATCAGATTCTCGAGCCGCCCTTTTCCCAACGAGGAGGGCGTGGCCTTTGCTAGCTCGGGGCCGGCGTTCAGCGCGTCGCGGTGGCACCCAGGTTAGACAGGGGCGATTGCGCCAGTTTCTGCCGAC